GTGGCCTCGCGCAGGAGGTGGGGGCATGGCCCTCAGGGCGGTGAGGGAGCTGGGCAGGGGCCGGGTCGCCACTCCACATGCTGTGGACCTCAGCTTTTATCTGCAGACAGCAGGAGAGAATCCGATTGACCATTTAGAACAGAGCCCCGGCGGCCAAAAGCTCATGTCTCCTCGTAGGCAGAACGCTCGTCACCGGGGTGTGTGTTCAGTGTCACTCGGGTTCTGTTGACACGCCGGCCGTGGAGTGCTAGTTTGTGTTTAGCAACCAGCCTTCTGGGGCGAAGGCCTGGTCCGTGGCCGCTGCCGGTTGCCGTGGTGTAAATGCTCCCACCGTGCCTGACTCCAGGCTGCCCCGTGAGTCCCCTGGGCATGGCGTTGAGAAAGGCTCTCTCTAGGAGCCTGCTTCCGCCATCCGGGCCCAGCTGACGTAAATAACCCCAAGAGCAACCCTAAAGGCCCAACGTAGTCAAATAACTGGGAAGTGACACGTTTCCAGTACTTACTACCTCTGTTTTTATTGTAAGTTCCTCACGTGTCAGGCTGTGGATCTCGGCGTTTAACGACGGCTGTGTCACAGCGGGCTGGCGGGCCCTGCACGCTGGGCTCTGTTCTCCCGAGCTGGCGCGAGCAGGCTCCAGCTCCTCTGCGGCGTCTTATAAAAAGACGCCGCTCACGGACGAAGCTGCCTCCCGGCCTCGTCGTCCCCAGGAGGGACACGTGGACTGGGTCAGTGCTCAGCAGGGGGCCGCCAGCACAGAAACTCCTGTCGGACCCTGGTTCTGAGCCCCGGCCCCACTTCTCACGCCAATGTCAGGCTCCTGGGACCCCCTCGCCCCCCGTCTTCCCCACTGTCGAGAGTTGGAGAGTTGGGGATGTCACTAGGGCAGACCCTGCTTGGGATTTGCTCGCTGGAGACACTTGGCACGTAGTACGTGCTCGGTACAGTGTTTGTAGGGTGACAGCCTGCGGTGGTGCTGTAAGCGGTATTGCCGGGTGTGCGGGCTCTCATGACACACGGGCAAAGACCCGTCATCGGAGAGTTCGGCCTTGTGTCTCCTCCCTGGATTGTTGGTGCCACCTTTCACTGGACTGCCCTCCTTCCTGGACCTGGCCAGCATCCCTCCCTCAACCAGCTAGGGCTGGGTCCGCCACCCTCTGCCCACGCCTCTCCCTCCCGAGAAGAGTGTCGCCCACATCTCTGAGCACGGGCCTTTACACCCGCCAGGCTCCCCTGCACGGCCATGTGCCGTTTGGTGAGGACGGTGGGCATTTCCCCTCAGCATGCCTTCGCCCATGCAGGTCCCCTCCCTGAAGTGTCCCCTCCCTGAAGTGTCCCCTCGCCCTTCTCTACCGAAAGCCGTGGTGACGCGGCTCAGAGGCCTCCTCCCTCGTGCCCGCGGGTCACGGCGAAGGGCTGCCGCGTACCGGAGACTCTGCTTCGTAGAGATATCTTACCATCGTAGCCTTGTCTGTCCTCACGTAGTTCCTCGCCGGCCGCTGGGGCGCTGGCTGCGTGTGCTCGGGACTGAATTTTCTGTGCCCGGAGTGCTTGTGGAGGAAATGCACAAGCGCATGGCACAGTTTGGCTTCATCAGGGGTGAGGAGGAGTCTGTGACTCCCTAGCCCCAGGCAGAGGCAGAGCACCTGCCCGGAGGACCTTGCTAGAAAATGCTGTGTGACGTTGGGAGAGTTACTTAACCTCTCTGTGTCTTTGTATTCCCTTTCACGAAACAGAGAGGGGAGGATTCAGGGAGCCAGCAGGTGTGAAGTGAGAACACGGCCTCGTCGGCCGTTTGTTCGCTGGGCTCAGTGAGCGCTGGCCGTTTCCGTCCGTGCCGTTTCCCGCGCAGCCCCTGGTCCGCACGGCCTGAGCACAGCACGGGCTCAGTTTTCGTTGTCCGTCCAGCGCTGGGTGCTCCAGAAGCAGGCTCCCCTGGGAATTCGGGCCGATGTCTCCGGCTAACCACAGATCCGGTCAGGTTTTCCGCAGAGCTGTGCCATGGTTTGGAGGGGACATTCCCGACCAAGCCCTGGGCACGTGACGCCCACCGTAGGCCCGGCCGGTGACAAGTCTGAAAAGCAGAGCAGGACCCCCATCACGAGCCGCGGCATCGTGGGAGGTGGTGGGGCTTTGCTTCCCGTGCACAGGCATCAGCGGCTGCCAGGGGCAGGGGACCTGGATGTGGCCGTGGTCCAGGAACCAGAGCATCAGCAGAGCCCCAGGCCCGCTGGGTCGGCATCTGCACCTTTACACTGTCCCCAGGTGGTTCGTGTGCAGTGCTGGTGAGGACGGCTCTGGTCTGGGCAGCGGGGGTGGAGGGGGGCAAGCGACTGACGGCCAAAGCCTGTATTTTGTCAGTAAACTTCCCTGGCACAGAGCCACGCCCACTTGTTTACAGTTTGGCTTTCGCAGCATGGACAGCTGAGTAGTTATGGCCAGTGAAGGAGCAGTGGCCCCAAAGTGTTTGCCGGCCGAGCCTCATAGAAGGCGCTTTCCCGCCCCTGATCTAAATAAAGCCCCATGGTCCAGCCTGGCTGCTGGGGTCTAACCGGAGGTTACAGCGTGACCAGTGTGGGCGGGGCCTGGGAGGAGGACTCCCCAGAGCCCAGAGGGGTCCCTGCGGGCAGCCGCAGGCCCTGAGAACCGCGGTTCCACGTTCCCTGTGAAACCCAGCCAGCAGTTCTGCGGTCCGTGCACGGGCCTGAGGTCCAGGAGCAGAGGCCTAGTAGGTGACGCCGGCCCTTTCCGAGGTGGCTGAGGCCATCGACGGGACAGTGTGTGTGAGGCGCTGGGGACAGAGCGCCGTTCCTGTCGGTGTTTTCATCCTTGTCCCCACCCTGGGGCCCCAGACTGGCCGGAGGAGGCCAGAGCAGGGTGGACGTGTCGTGAGCAAGGGGACACTGCCGGCGTCTTCCTCGGTGGGGCTCCCCGGGGCGTCGGAGGAGGGCCGTGGCAGGGAGGCATTTAGCCCAGTGCCGGGCTTGGGCGCAGACCCCCGGCGTCAGCCCTGTGACCAGGATGCACCCGTGCACGGCTGGGAGGCCGGGGCCGGCCGCTGCCGGGCCTCAGGGCACCGGGGCCAGACAGTGGCTGGCTCTGCAGCCCAAGGATGAGGTCCCCAGGGGCGTGGGGACGCCACCAGCCAGACCTAGGGGATGATGACAGGTGCTCTGGGAGGGTAGCCTGGAGTTAGGCCCATGTGGCTGCTGGGAGTGACAGTAAGAAAAGCTTCGGGGTGACGCCGCACCCCAGGTGGGGAATTCTTGGCATAGGTGCAGCCGAGGGCGGTCTAGGGAGACGCCAAGCTCCCCGCGGCTGGAAAGCCCCTGCCGGCCCGGCCCCCAGCCCCCAGGCGTCAGGTTCCTGGGTGTTCAGGAGCTGGCAAGCGTGACGGGGAGAGATGGCAGCCACGCCAGGTGGCCCCCGGGGCGGGGCCCTCCTCCCCAGGCGGCCGTGCCATCGACCCCGACCCCCTCTCTGGGTCCTGGCCCCGGTTCCCACGCGCCCTCGCCGCCTTCGTCAGGCACGTGGCGAGAGCGCACACCGTGTTGGAACGAGCCGGAAAACCGCCACCGGGCCGCTTCGTCTGCAGCTCTCGGGCTGTTGAAAGGTCACGCCTCAGCGTCCGAGGGATTTCGATGGGGACAGGCTAGGTGGGGGTCCCTGGCTACCTCTCAGCAGTCGGCAGCGGCGCGGGGGAGCGGAGAGGCCGTCGGGTCCCCGTGCCGTCCCTCCCCCTCCTCTCACGGAGTAGAGGGGCTTTCGTGGGGAGGGGGGCAGACCCGAGGCGGGAGGTTCCAGGCGATGCTGTCGCCTTGGAGAGCCATGTCGTACGGCCTTCCCCTGGGTCCCAGCGTCCACACAGTGCCCGTGGCCGGCCCCGTGCTCAGCTGTACCCCAGAGGAGGTCTCGGGAGCGGGGTTGCAGGCCAAGGGAACCTCGTCCATTGACGGGTATGGTTCCTGGTACGGAGGAAAGAAGGGGGGACGAGTGCCTCCAGCTCCCACCGCCTCTGTCTGCTGGGGCTTCTTCCCCTCTTGGTTTGCGAACTGGTGTGACCGAGCCCCTGGTACCCACCAAGAGGCTCTTTGGCGGGTTCGCTTTCATTCGTTTGGCTCAGCGGGACGGAAAGGTGGTCTGGTTTGGCAGCTGCCCGCAGGGCAGACTTCGGGGTGGCAAAGGAAACCATGTGCTTGAAAGGAAATCTGATGGGACAGAAATGCAACGGGGGGTGGCGGGATGGGAAGGGGCCGGTGGCTACCGCGTCCTCCCGCATCCTCCCGCGTCCTCCCGCGTCCTGCTGAGGCAGGGTCAGGGGCCCGGGGTGGCGGAGTGGCCTGGCCAGTGCCCGCCTCACCTGCCTGGCCCGCTTGGGAGGAGATGAGAGGCTTCGGGAGGGGCTGGTTTTGGCGTGAGCCTCTTTGATCTCCCTGTAAAATGGGCCTGCCCCACACCCAGGGGGCCTCATCAAAGCTGCAGCCACTCTCACTGACCTGGGGAACGGGGAGACAGGCTTAGAGAGGTGGCCTGAGCTCTGTCAGGGACGCGCTGGGCTGGGCTGGGGCCCAGTGTGTCCCAGGTGTCCTGTGGTGCCCACTCTGTTCCTCCCTGTGGTGTTCATGGCTCCTCAAGGATCTGTGCCAGGCGCCAGCTCTGTAAGGTTCTCACAGTCCAGCCCCCTGGCCCGTGGCTGAGGTGCAGGCACGCGGAATACCCCTGCTTTCCACGGGGAGGAGTCGAGACCCTCACCCAAGGTCACACAGCACCATCGGAGGCAGGACTTGAACCCGGGCATTCGAAACCCTGCCTCCTACCCCTCACCCCGTGACTCCTGCGTCCCTGGTGCATGGGCCGTGGCCAGCGGGGCCCTCGTTCAGCATCCTCTTCCTCCCACCGACTCCCTGATGGTCCCCTCCCTCCCCCTCCCAGCCTGCGCGGCCCAGGTGCAGAGACTCACCTGCCTCCCTGTTCTCCCCTCCCCCACCCTCCCCCGGGGCAGCAGCAGCAGCAGCAGCAGCAACAACAGCAGCAGCAGCAGCAGCAGCAGCAGCAGCAGATGCCCCGGAGCAGCCAGGAGGAGAAGGATGAGAAGGAGGCGGAGAGGGAGGAGGAGCGGCCGGACATGGACAATGACAAGGAGGAGCTGACCAAGTAAGGCCGGGCGCCGTGACCCCGGGGGGCGGCGTCTGCTCGCAGCCCAGATTTGGGGCCTGGTGGGCGACCCCGTGCAGGTGTGTGAGGACATGGCGATCTGGTGTCTACAGGTTGCCTGCTGGGAAGGCAGGCTCTTCCGCTCCGTCCGCGGCAGCCCCCCCTCCGGAAGCCCGCCCCCTTCCCTCCTCCGCCCGCCCTCTCTCAAACCCGCGGGGGACCCTGCAGACGGATCGCTCATTTGAGCTCCACTCCTGAGCTAATAAATCCAGGCAATGACTTTGGAACTCTGCCTCCTGTCTCTCCCACCTCAGGCTAGTCTCCTGAGGAGCCGGGAGGGCAGGGGAGGGGCGGCCGGGGGACTGGGGGGGCCCGGGATGTGGGCGGGCCACGCCCTCACCGTTGCAGTTATCCCTGTCAGTGTGAGTTTTTGCAGATCAAGGCCTCACCTCAGGGCCCCGACAGCCCCCCCTATGCCTTCCCGGGGGCCGGGGGAGCAGGGCCAGCTGCAGAGTCACGAGGTGGGGTGGGCACGGCTTAGCGCCAGGTATGGAATGGGCTCCGGAATGCGGTTGCAGAGAGCATCTGGCTTCGTTACCCGCGTCTCTCAGACTTCAGCGCGGGCCTTCAGGAAGATGGATGGAAGGCAGGGTGATAAATCTCAGAGGCCCCACGGTGAACCCCTGAGCCGGCTCCAGAGAAGGGCCCAGCTCAGGTGCTGAGGTCACATCAGCCCACACACCCCCGCTCAGCTTGCAGGAAACTTCCTCTGGCGTCTTCCCCAAGGCGCACCGGCACCCAGTGATGCCGACGGCAAAGGCCGTTCGCAGAGCCCCACCGGGAACATCTCTTTGGGGAGTAAAGAGGCTTTGACTGCTGCCAGCCTGCACCGCCATGCAGCTAACCCGGTAGTCTTGCAGGCAGAGAGCAGAGGGTATCTCTCTACTTGGTGCATAAAATGGTCCTTGCAAGGAGCCACCAGCTCATGTCCCCAGTCGGGTGAATAAAACAGCCATCCTGTTAACTAACTACCAGCCCACATCCCCCTGTTTGGAGAACGAGGTCGTCGATGGCCACCAGCTCACATGACCCGTCTGATAAATACAGTGGCGCTGCAGGTAGCACCAGCCAGTGCCCATCAAGCTCCAAACACCAGGTCTCTTGCAGCCGCCCGGTCTCTGGGCTCAGAAGTCATCCCTGTCTCTCTCACTGGCCTCCAGGGAGAAGACGGACGACACCTCCGGGGAGGACAACGATGAGAAGGAGACAGTGGCCTCCAAAGGCCGGAAAACCGCCAACAGCCAGGGGAGACGCAAAGGCCGCATCACCCGCTCCATGGCCAACGAGGCCAACAGCGAGGAGGCCGTCACCCCGCAGCAGAGCGCCGAGCTGGGTGAGTCGCGGGCCGGGGAGGGCGCCCGACGTGGCGGGTGTGACCTCTCGGCTTTAGAGGCGACCTCGCCGTGTGACCTGGGGCCGGCTCCTCAGCGTCCCTGTGCCTCGTCCTCTCGTCCCCGTGCCTCGTCCTCTCGTCCCTGTGCCTCGTCCTGTCGTGCGCGGCGGTTGCCGGGACCCGCAGGCTTGCGTTTCTGGGTCTGGGGGAGTTCCCGTAAACATCCCGGGCCACAGTCTGCTTTGGGGGTTGAATCGGGAGGTCTGGCTGCACTCGGCCCGCATTTCCAGCGTGCTGGAGTGCCCGGGACGCCTCACCAAAGAGTCACTGAGCCCCGGGGAGTCCACGCTCAGATGGGGTCCCTGCCTGTCTAAAGCCCACGTCCCTGTCCCCCCCGTTTGCACGCTCCCAGACGAGCCAGCCCCTTCCCAACCAAATGCCTAAACAGGCAGCTCTCACGGTCTAGGCCCTGGACCGCCTCAGTTCCCCGTCTGTGAGGTGGAGTGATTGGTACTCCGCACCCCAGCGGGTTGTGCGAGGCTGGCCAACTGCCCCGTGGTGCCAGGGTGGCGGTGGCTGGAGCTGAGTAGCCACCACCCCGTTTTTCGCACGGGCCATCCCCACCCTGCCCCAACCCTGTCTGTGGGCTCTTAGCGTCACTTCTGTGGGCCCTACCGGGAAGCACAAGAGAATTGAGTAGCAGTTCTCACGTTTGGCCACAGGGGGGCAGCAGACATGTGTCTGTTGTCTACCATTTTGGCTCTTGGGGGGCCCACCCTTCCTCCTCATTGAGGACCCCCGCCCCTGAATGCTCAGGCTAAGGTCCCAGCCACCAGGTGGCCTTCCCAGGACAGGAGTTGGTAGAGCTGGTGTTTCATTTCTCACAGATGCCCCCTCCCCCACACTCAGGGTCTGTGCCGGGCATTCACCTCTTCCTCGATGGGAGGTAATTTGTACCCATTTCGAAGATGGGCTGCTTGAGGCTTGGAGAAAGGGGCGTTGCTTCTGCAAAGTCACAGAGTCGGTCGGGATTCAAACCCCGCCCTGCTGGCCCCAAGTCCCATGTGGTTCTTTAGTCTCCAGCCAGCTGCCCCCGGTGCCAGGGTGCCCGGAGGCCCAGGGCATAGAGCTCCCCTCAGAAGTGTGCTGGTGTGCCTGACTTCTGGGGCGCTCCTGGAACCCCAGGCCGATCGGGGGCTGGAGTGTGGGGTGGGAACTACAGGAGGCTGTCCCAGCATCGCACCCCGGTCCCAGGGGTCACAGCCTCCCTCTGGGAGGGGGGCGGGGTTGGCGTGGTGGCAGGGAGCGCCAGAGGCAGCCCACGGGGGTGGGGCCTGCTCTCGGCTGAGCTGCTGCTCCCCAGTGCTGTCCTACCAGACATTCCTCCTGTGGTCAGCCAGCCCCGATCGAGCCCTCCTCGGTGCCTGGAGCTGGTCCAGGTGCTGAGTCCACGCGGTGACGTCCCTCATGTCTGCCTCCTCACAAGGCCCTAAGCAATGATCAGGGGAGGCCCCGGGCTCCCATCGAGGGGGCTTGGACGACAGGCTCACGGAGGCACGGCAGGGGCTTGGCCGACCGCCGACCCAGGGTCAGCCGTGTCCCTTCTAAGAAGCACAGAAGCCTCGTCCTTGTACTGGATGCGTTAGGGAGAATGTGACAATCACCCTGTAGAGCACGGTTTTTAGGGCATTTTTACTCCCAGGGGACAATTGGTCACGTATGGAGACATTTTTGATTGTGATACCTGGCGTGGGGTGCTGGCAGCATCTGGTGGGTAGAGGCCACGGACGCCGCTAAGCGTGCTGGAGTGCCCAGGACGCCTCACCGAAGAGTCACTGAGCCCCGGGGAGTCCACGCTCAGATGGGGTCCCTGCCTGTCGAAAGCCCACGTCCCTGTCCCCCCCCACGTTTGCACGCTCCCAGCGAGCCAGCCCCTTCCCAACCAAGCGCCTAAACAGGCAGCTCTCACGGTCTAGGCCCTGGGCCGCCTTAGTGTCCCGTCGGTGAGGTGGGGTGATTGGTACCCCGCACCCCAGCGGGTTGTGCGAGGCTGGCCCCGGGTACAAGCATGTGTCCGCGGCGCCCGTGCAGCCAGCGGCGGGCGAGGCGGCCTCCGCGGCCGCTGCCAACGTGCCCCGTCTCCCTCGCAGCCTCGATGGAGATGAACGAGAGCTCCCGCTGGACCGAAGAGGAGATGGAGACAGCCAAGAAAGGAGAGGCTGC